AATCTCGCGACTTGTTTCCATATTAAATATATTTAGTAAGTAATTAATATTGTGAAATGGAAAGGGTTGGTTAGGACTCAGAAGACAAGTATAGATGCGTGAGTGTGAAGGAAGCAAACGAAATAATGGGAACAACCACGGAAGAAATGGTAATCAAGGCAAGAAAAGAATTTGAAGACGAAGAAACAACAGATATTGAGAATCAAATGAATCCTCAAGATGACCTCACCGCAAAAGAAGATCGTTACCAATCTCAATTAAACGACTTCGAGACTTTGTGGATGTAAAAACAAAAAAAAAGATTAAATATGTTCTTCATTGTTAACTTGATATTGAAAGAGACACATAATTGTTTTGATATTGTAAAACAGTCACACAATTTAATTGAAAGGACCCATGTCCACTACAGTTCACGTTACACATCAATTGAATTCTTGCTTAATTATTGCATACATATAAGATATTATATAAAACTGAAAAAGAAAAAAAAAACATAAGACACGATTATAATGAAAAAGTATGTTTACGTAGTAGTAGGCATCACAGGAGAAGTCAAGTGTTCTGAGTTCAGACAGGAACACTGTGCAAGACGACTGTCTCAACAGTGAGTCCTGGTCCGAATCCGAACAAGACTCCCCACTCCAACCCTTCACCTGTCGTGGCTGCACCATCTTCCACCGACTTCTTCCTCATCTCATCAAGTATAAAGAGAACACACGCGCTTGACATGTTTCCATACTCGCTCAACACGTGACGTGTCGCTCTCATCTTCTCTGCTTTTAGACCTAGCTTGATCTCAACTTGGTCTAATATGGCCGGACCTCCAGGGTGAGCTATCCAGAAGAGAGAGTTCCAGTCACTTATTCCCAATGGTTTAAACGCTTCGTCTAAACTCTTCCCTATGTTCTTTGAGACAAGCGCGGGAACATCTTTCAGGAGATGGAAAGTGAGCCCGACCTCCCTCAAGTGTCCATCTATGGCTCCGTCAGAGTCTGGAACGATGGTCTGAGCCGCAGACACCATCTCAAAGATAGGCTTCTCTCCCACGGAAGTGTCCGGGTCCGAACCAACGATGAGAGCAGCTGCACCGTCACTGAAGAGAGCCTGGCCGACAAGAGAGTCTAGATGCGTGTCGGAAGGACCACGGAATGTAACGGCAGTGATCTCGGAGCAGACGACAAGGACACGAGCACCACGGTTGTTCTCGGCGAGGTCCTTAGCGAGACGGAGGACGGTCCCACCGGCGAAGCAACCTTGTTGGTACATCATGAGACGCTTGACGGAAGGTCGGAGACCGAGGAGCTTGGTGAGTTGGTAGTCCGCACCAGGCATGTCGACACCGGAAGTGGTGCAAAAGACGAGGTGAGTGATCTTGGATTTGGGTTGACCCCACTCCTTGATGGCTTTAACCGCAGCTTCTTTGCCTAGCTTAGGGACCTCAACCACCACAATGTCTTGACGAGCGTCAAGAGAAGGAGCCATGTAAGCACACATTTTCGGGTTGTCTTGGAGAAACTCTTCGGTCAAGTGCATATGCCTTTTCCGGATCATGGACTTGTCGCCTGTTATAGTAAGTTATAATGATATTAAGTAACAAACTATGTAAATAAATCAAATGAAATGAAGTAGGGATGCATAAAGAACGTACACATGCGCTTGAACTTCTCCTTAAGGTCGGTCATGTGTTCACTGTTGGTGATGCGGAAGTAGTAGTCAGGATACTCGGCTTGGATCACATGGTGCGCTGGATTAGCCGTGCCTATGGCCAAGATGCCTGCGGGTCCATCAGCTCTCTGTGCCTTTCTGATCTCATCTAGATCTAAAGATGTTGCACCCATCACCATTTTTTAAAAGACCAAATTGGGGTTTTGTTACTAGAGTTTGATGGTGTAGTAGAATGCAAGTTATTATGTTTATATTTTAGAAATCGTGGAGTGAGAGGACTATATAACAAAATTGATAAAGAAGAAAGAGAGAAGAGGGTGTGGTAGGTTGGATGGACGGGTAGATGAAGCACCACGTGTCTTTTTGTTACCCTTATTTTTTGTGGTTCTCCTTCTTGCTTCCCATTTTTTCGTTACTTACCAAGCACACCTCTCTGTCTCTCTTTCCTTCATTGAATGGTGGGTTTTATTGATTTTTATGTATCTGTAACAACAAACTTAATTTTCAAAAAAAAAAAAAAAATTTGTTTCTTGGTTTCAGTATTCTTGTTGTTGTCACGTGTTATTTGGTATCAATAAAAGTATTTATTTATATGTGCATATTAATTAGATATTATATACGGCTTAGGTTGTTACATGTATATACTGATATACCTCAAGTTACAACTACGACGGGGTTAGGTTTCGATAGTCTCTCAAATCTACGGAGGAGGTTTCACTTTCCCCACACGTGCATACTTAACCCTATCATTACCTCTTCCTAATCTAATATCCCTTCTTCATTTACCTCTAATCCCATAACTAACTAAATATCACGTTTGGTATGCCTTCTTCATCATAATAATATCCACTACTTTTTCGCCTTCCAACAACGCAAGATGCACTACTTGTTCGTTAATCGAGCCACAAATAATCGTCGTAGAAAAACATTTTACTTCCAACAACGCAATTCGTGTATTACTTTTTTTTTTCTCAAGTAGAAAGAACGTAATCGAAGGTGGGCTTAACCTGAGTCCTTAACCTGATAATAATATAAACAATAATATGGGCTTGGCCCAAGCCCATTATTAAATCACGAGAAAAAAACCAATTGACTCTGTGAAGGTGAAACTCGCAATCGCAAAGGGAAATGAGAAATGACGACGACGGGGAATTGCTTCCGTTGCCATGAGCCTGGCCACTGGATCAGTGACTGTCCTCTCAAGATCAACGCCGATCCTCTTCCTCCACCGTCGATTCACTGTACCTGCGGCGGAGGGTTCTGTTTGACCAAGGTCGCGAATACTCAACGGAACCCTGGAAGGAAGTTCTACAAGTGCCCTACTGTTCGTACTTTCGTAACTCACTCTTCTTTTACTTGATTTCTCCTGCAATTTCGCCAACTCGAAGCAAATCACTGAGAATTTTTGAAAAATTCGCAGGCTCAGGATTGTGGATTCTTCAAGTGGTGTGATAAAGTAACCGACGAAGATATCAGATTCCGACCTGCCTTCATGATCCCGATTTGCCCATGTGGTTCTGGACTTTGCCGGAAATTTATAGCCGATTCCGGACCTGATTCCGGTCGAGCGTACTATCTATGCTGCATCAAAAAGGTTTGAGTCTTTAAGTTATCGCAACTTTTAACGGCTATTTAGAAAGTTTTTGGTTACATTGATGTAATTGGTGTAGGGTTTTGGGGCTTGTGGATACTTCCAGTGGGAAGGTGTTGAGATGGGTCCGATTTGTGATGTAGTTGATGAGGATGAGATGGATTTCTGGGTGGAAGCGGATTTGATTTCCAGTGATGTTGAAAGCAACTTTCATGCTTCTGTAATGGAGAATGTGAATCAAGTGGCAGTTCCCGGGAAAGAATGTCACGGCTCTGTTAGTATAGGGGATGATTCGATAGTCGAAAATTTGGATGCTATGTTGGTTTCTGATATACATTCCCATGCTGCTTTGAATCAAGGTACTTCAGATATGGAAAAAATTGATTCTTTTTAGAGTGTTTTGGTGTGACTAGTCTTTGTTATCTCATAGTTTTCTGTCCGAATTTCTTGTTGTTATTCACTAGGCATCCCTCTGATTGGTCCTAGAGTGGCTGAAGAGCAAGTGGCAGTGGTGATCGAACCGGATGAGCCATGGATGAAGACTATGCATGTTGATCACCAGGCAACAAATTCTGCTCCTTCCAAGCTCAGCTTTAAGGAGAGTTGCCATTTGAATTTGGATGAAGCATTGAGTGATTTAGGGTCAGTCGATAGATTTGAAAACGTCGGAGATGCAGTTTCTAGTGGTTCGGTTGTGACAAACCATGAGCAACCTGGAACTGGTGAAACTGAGTGGTCGTCTCCCAATTTGCAGGACATCATTGAGCAATACAACTCAGAGAAGCATCGATTGGAGAGTGTTTCAGGGAAACATGTACAAGTGTTGAGTGCATTCATGGGTTCGTACAGACGACTAAGGTTACTACACGAGAAAACTAATAATCTCAGGAAATTGTTACTTGAAACAGAGAAGGAGATGGCTTGTTGTGAGGCTGAGACATTGGAATTAGGAGCAAGTTGCCGAGAAGTGGCTTCGGAAATGGCTGAGTCTCAGAAAAGAATGCAGGAGACAGCAGAGAAACTAGGTAAAGAAGTAGATGTGTTGAAGCTAAAGGAGTTTGTTACTATGAAGAGAAGAAAATGCTGAGCTTTTTGCATATGACTTAAGTGCCATTGTAGCCAAGTGTTGGAAGGTAATGATCACTGATTCACTGGTTACTTTGATTTTAGCAAAGTAATTTAACCTGTATTATGGACTTAGTTAGATTAATGGAGTAACTTGAAAAGCTCGTGGTCCTAAACTCCTACCATATCACTTTCAGGTTTAGATGAGGCAAAAGCAGAATTACTTTGTGTTTTTTTTTTAACTTGTTAATGTGGTTGAGAATTACGAATCTAACATAGTGCGCCTCATCACATGGTCGCTTGACTAAAAAGAGTAGTTAGATTTGAATAAGACAAAAGATAATTTGTGTAGGTAATAATTAGAAAAAGGATTAGTAATGTTAAGCGTCCAAGGAAATGCCTTTCCACGTTGGGCGCACATGTCTTCTC